GATGACAGATTCCATTAATATAATAATCTGATGACAGATTCCATTAATATAATAATCTGATGACAGATTCCATTAATATAATAATCTGATGACAGATTCCATTAATACAATCTAATGATTGATTCCATTAAATTATTATTATAATCTGATGACAGATTCCATAAATATAATCTGATGATAAATTCCATTAATATAATTTAATAACAGCATTTGGTTATCCTAAGAAAACAATAGTCAAGTTTAAAATACTTGTTCATCAATATTTAATCCATATTTTACTTGTTAGTAAGTTATAGGGGTGATAATATGCTGATTTGTTAAGAACAGAGAGACACTATACTCCATTCTTTCTATAATTGACAACTGATTGATAAGTTAACTAGTATAAAATATGGAAATGTTAGAACTGCATTGTGTATCACATAAATAAGGATAAATACTGGAATCAAATATTGAGACATATCACAGCTTTACTTTCATGTATGGCTTTCATAAACCAGGACTAGGGGCAGTAACTCTGTTGATGGTTACACAGTCAACACAATGTGACCATAATGTGACCAGGAACAGATAATGAGGTTACACAAATCTGTTGTACATATTGGGAATGTATACCAGTCAATAACAGTACTAGTTTTGAAACAACATAGTGAGTAACAACTCTTGTACTACTCAGGATGCTCACTTATTTAAATTTTCATCTGTTGGTCTTACATTTTATTAATCATTATTCACTATGAGACCATTTCATACTTATCATCAAATGTGAGTGGTGCACGTTATCTGAAAACAGATTGCTACAAACAGAAAATATGTGAAATGAGTATTTTGGAAAAAGTAAAATACAAATCAATATGAAATATTCAAACAAAATTCCAGAATGATGTGGCCCTAATTAGTAGTGGTGGAGAATGGTACTTAACTTTCATTTAATACTGTTAATACGCTCTACACTACAAAGAGTAATATGTATTACTTACATGAAATAAATATTGAAAACTTCAACAGATTACAATGTTTATATTAAAAAAGCAGTTGGGACTATAGCCAAACCTTATGTTGTTGCTCTGAAACAAATTTGGACTTAATGAGCAGCTGTTATACAATGAGTATTTTAAAGGAAGCCTATCATATGAGTATTCATAAGTCAGATGGGGGAAAATAGGTTTATGCAACAAATAATTTAAAGGAGACACTGACCCAAATTAACATTTCTACATGTCCTAGGTCATACAGCAAAACTAGTTGAAACAAAATCAACTTTTGGTAAATTTCTAAGTATAAACTTCATGCATTAAGCTCTTCAAAAAAAAGACCATATTTAACATTTGTCAGACAAACCATTTACACAGATTTGATGTTTGAACAACTTTATAGGGAACCTGAAAATTCTAACAAGTGAACACTTTGAAAACCCTCCACTCTTCTTATCAATCAGTGAATTAAAAGAAATTACTTGACTGTTATAACAGTTGAATACTTCTTATCCCAAGAAGTTTTTGACATCCCAAACCTAATCATTCTACACTATACTCACACCTATACCATTTATACATGTACCGTTGGCCTGCCAACTTCATGGATCATTTCAAAAGTTTTCACAAAATGAAACGTGGTTTTGTGGTATACGGTCTGATATAAGTCAGGTGTTTAGAAATGTGTAATGGAGTTAGGAAAACTGGATCATTTTCATATATATCTGACCGGACTCAAGAAATTGAAAAAAATAATGCTTATCCACAGAAAACAATCTTCTGTGAGTGGAAATGGTAGATTTTCTTATTTCCTCAACATTAGATCCTGTTGGCATAATTCTGTTGTTTTTTTTTTGTTTTTTTTTTGACATGCAGAACATGAAGAATGTTTTATAATATTACACTAAAGTGTACATCTTAGGCAGATCACAATGAGAACATACATTGCTACAAATGGACATATATATTTCAGCATAACAAGACAATATCGGAGCAAATCATTGGGACTTAGAATGATACAAAATAAAGGAATGATGATGAAAGGCTTCTTCATAAGCGTAACTTACAGATACGACAAACATATACATGAAAAACAACTTTAACTTCAGAGAAAAATGAAAATAGAAATTGTAATTCAATCCAGTTTTCTATATATACTTGTAGCATTAGCAGTAAGATTGTTTGTATAATTGAGTCCTGGACCCAATTTTTGCGATGGGATTTACTACAGATTAATCACATAATTTTGATTGTGTACAGATTTGTCATAAATTTGTATGTGTAGAGATTTATAACATTATCTTGTTAGCAAACACAATTGTCACTTTATCTGGTTTGTGTAGATATTTGATACATGATCTGGTTTGTGTATAGATTTGTCATATTATCTTGTTTGTGTAGATATTTGATACATGATCTGGTTTGTGTAGAGATTTGTCATATTATCTTGTTTGTGTAGATATTTGATACATGATCTGGTTTGTGTATAGATTTGTCACATTATCTTGTTTGTGTAGATATTTGATACATGATCTGGTTTGTGTATAGATTTGTCATATTATCTTGTTTGTGTAGATATTTGATACATGATCTGGTTTGTGTATAGATTTGTCACATTATCTTGTTTGTGAAGAAATTTTAAACTATATTTAAAATTTATAATTTATAATATTTATAATTTGTAACTATATCAAGTTTGTGTAGATTTTTGATACATAATCTGGTTTGTGTAGAGATTTGTCACATTATATTGTTTTTGTAAAAATTTGTCACTTTATCTAGCTTGTGAAGAGATTTGTGACTATATCGAGTTTGTTTAGAGATTTGTCACTTTACCTTGTAAACAAACATATTTATCACTTTATCTTGTTTTGTGACTGCATTAGTGTATTATTAGAAGTAACTACAGATATAACAGTGCTAACTAAAATATGGCTACATGTATGACAGTGTTAATTAAAGTGTGGCTACATGTATGACAGTGTTAATTAAAGAGTGGCTACATGTATGACAGTGTTATTTCAACTGTGGTTTACAAGTATGACATTGTTAAATAATGGTTACATGTATGACAGTGTTAATTAAAGTGTGGCTACATGTATAACAGTGCTAACTAAAATATGGCTACATGTATGACAGTGTTAATTAAAGTGTGGCTACATGTATTACAGTGCTAACTAAAATATAGCTACATGTATGACAGTGTTAATTAAAGTGTGGCTACATGTATGACAGTGTTAATTAAAGAGTGGCTACATGTATGACTGTTTATTAAAGAGTGGCTACATGTATGACTGTTAATTAAAGAGTGGCTACATGTATGACAGTGTTAATTAAAGAGTGGCTACATGTATGACTGTTAATTAAAGAGTGGCTACATGTATGACAGTGTTAAAATAAGGCTACATGTATGACAGTGTTAATTAAATTGTGACTGCATTTATGACAGTGTTAATTAAAGAGTGGCTACATGTATGACAGTGTTAAATTAAAATGTGGTTTACAAGCATGACAGTGTTAAAAAATTGCTACATGTATGACAGTATAAAAATGTGGCTATATGTATGACTGTTAATTAAAGAGTGGCTACATGTATGACAGTGTTAATTAAAGAGTGGCTACATGTATGACAGTGTTAAAATGTGGCTACATGTATGATAGTGTTAATTAAAGTGTGACTGCATTTATGACAGTGTTAATTAAAGTGTGGCTACATGTATGACAATGTTAATTAAAGTGTGGTTACATGTATGACAGTGTTATTTTAACTGTGGTTTACAAGTATGACATTGTTAAATAATGGTTACATGTTACAGTGTTAATTAAAGTGTGACTATATTTATGACAGTTTTAGGTGTAGCTGCATGTATGATTGTATGATGGAATCACCTTGATTGATGTCTCAAACTAACAAAAGGTTGATGGATAGACTTAATTAGTGGGACTGATGTTACACATACAAATGTTAATTCAAATGCTTTATGATTGCACCATTGGATTAGAGATCAGAATTGTTCAAAACTGAGTAATTTACATGTAGCAAATTTAAAATAAAACATGAGGAACTTAAAAGTCTACTAATTGAGCACAATAGTACATATTAACAATAATTTATACATTCATTGCATCTATCCTCTAGCATGTCATTGCACCTGTCATTGCAGCTTTAAATATCTCTTGCACCAGGATATGAACTTTTGCGTGATAGGAGAAAATATAAACACCATGGTAACACTATTGTTTAAATATAAACACCATAATAAAACCATTGTTTAAATATAAACATCATCGTTTAAACACTATGGTAACACTATTGTTTACATATAAACACCATGGTAACACCATTGTTTGAATATAAACACCATTGTAAAACCATTGTTTATATATAAACACCATTGCAAAACCATTGTTTGAATATAAACACTATTGTAAAACCATTTTTTGTATATATACACCATGGTTGCACTATTGTTCAAATATAAACACCATGGTAACACCATTGTTTACATATAAACACACCATGGTAACACCATTGTTTACATATAAACACCATGGAAACACCATTGTTTACATATAAACACCATGGTAAAACCATTGTTTATATATAAACACCATGGTAAAACCATTGTTTATATATAAACACCATGGTAAAACCATTGTTTATATATAAACACCATGGTAACACCATTGTTTAAATATAAACTCCATTGTAACATCATTGTTTAAATATAAACACAGCAGTAATGCAAATGTTTAGATATAAACTCCATGGTAACACCACTGTTTAAGTATAAACACCATGGTAACACCATTGTTTGAATATAAACACCATGGTAACACAATTTATTGTAATACAAACTCCACGGAAACACCATTGTTTATGATGTCCAATAACCAAACAAGTAAATGTGTAATGACATCCAGGAACTTTCAAGATATTTATGTTTAGTACACCATGTGATCTCGGTTGAAGGCCAGCCTTGACCTTTGACCTATCATGGTAATATTTGATATAAAAGATGAGTATCATTGCGTATATTTCTTGTCTGTGGTAGCCTGATCACTGGCCTGTGACACATCATCTTCTGACAGGAATTCCTGGCCCTGAAAAAAATACAATATTGTTACCAAAACTATATACCCATTACAAAAGAAACCTTCCAACATCTCAGAAGACTGTTATACAAGTACAACACCAAACACCTGTCAGTTACAAGTGTCATCAATGATGACAAAACTCACCAGCAGCAGACATTGTGAAATGCTTAATAACTGTGTATGAGCCAAAAGGGGTTTGGGATGTACACTAATGGTCTCTATAGACTTTTATTACTTATCCAAAGAAGTTTTCAAGTGAGTTTTTATGTGAGAAATGTTAAGCCCAAAACATGGTAAGACAAAGAAGTAAACATTTAGTTGCCATAACATCAATCTTCGACCTCTTTTTATTGTGAGTACAAAATAAAAGAGGCCCGGGGGACCTGAGTGAACTCCCAAATAGAAACAACTAGAAAGAATATGTAGTATAAAGAAGAGAAAATGAGAAATGCTATTTGTACAAGGACAGAAGAGTTTTACTTAAAGACCCTTCCACACATGAATGAGTATTTGATTCTAAAGATATTTAGGTACTGAGAAATTTTTGTTTTGTTTTGCAATTTCTGCCAGTTTAATCCTTTTTGGGCACACCCATCAGCCCTTGGGGTTTCCATTGAACTGTTACCCTATGCTAACAATTCTATCCATGTTTGATCTATTTTCACTAGAGAATGACAGTGTTTTCCCCACCCTTTAGGCCCCAAGGGGTGGGGACAATATAATTTAATAGTTGATTTGAATTTTGATTGAAGGTTTCTGCCAAGATTTATTGAAACAGTTTCAGGGGTTTTGCAGCAGAAATCAAAAATGTAAAAAAAAATATATATATAGACAAACAATGTCAGACAAATGGGTATTGCAATAGGTTACCATGGGACCATGTCTTATTACTACAAAGGAAAACTTTAGGTGTGAATGACACACAATGACCATTAATCTAAAGGAAAACTTTACTTGTTCAGGCCATACACTGATCATAATATAAAGGAAAACTTTACTTGTTCAGGACATACACTGATCATAATATAAAGGAAAACTTTACTTGTTCAGGACATACACTGATCATAATATAAAGGAAAACTTTACTTGTTCAGGACATACACTGATCATAATATAAAGGATAACTTTACTTGTTCAGGACATACACTGATCATAATATAAAGGAAAACTTTACTTGTTCAGGACATACACTGATCATAATATAAAGGAAAACTTTACTTGTTCAGGACATACACTGATCATAATATAAAGGAAAACTTTACTTGTTCAGGACATACACTGATCATAATATAAAGGAAAACTTTACTTGTTCAGGACATACACTGATCATAATATAAAGGAAAACTTTACTTGTTCAGGACATACACTGATCATAATATAAAGGAAAGCTTTACTTGTTCAGGACATACACTGATCATAATATAAAGGAAAACTTTACTTGTTCAGGACATACACTGATCATAATATAAAGGAAAACTTTACTTGTTCAGGACATACACTGATCATAATATAAAGGAAAGCTTTACTTGTTCAGGACATACACTGATCATAATATAAAGGAAAGCTTTACTTGTTCAGGACATACACTGATCATAATATAAAGGAAAACTTTACTTGTTCAGGACATACACTGATCATAATATAAAGGAAAGCTTTACTTGTTCAGGACATACACTGATCATAATATAAAGGAAAACTTTACTTGTTCAGGACATACACTGATCATAATATAAAGGAAAACTTTACTTGTTCAGGACATACACTGATCATAATATAAAGGAAAACTTTACTTGTTCAGGACATACACTGATCATAATATAAAGGAAAACTTTACTTGTTCAGGACATACACTGATCATAATATAAAGGAAAACTTTACTTGTTCAGGACATACACTGATAATTAATCAAACGGAAAACTCTACCTGTGGAGGACATACAGTGATCATTGATACAAAAAAAAATACTTTACCTGTTCTATCTTCTCATCAAGCATTTTGAAAAACTCTATCTGGCTATTTGTTACTCTGAAATGATAAAACATATAATTTAGTCACCAAAATCCTAGAAAAATTGCCATTTACATAGGTAATGTCACCACAGACAGATGAGGTGCCAGCTTTTGTCATTACCCAAGCCTCATCTTAGCCACAGCCTTGCCACTATTTGTCCAATCACTGTAAAACCTTGTCACCTTCTGGACAACCTTTGTCACATATTTGTCAAACCAATGTCAATCTCATTAAATTTTAGCCACTTCATTATATTATCTCAAAATTGTTTCCCTTCTCACAATTATGTTTCACAAAGTTAAAAACTTGCTTCCCTCTTCACAATATTGCTTCCCTTAACAATACCCTTTTTCCCTCCATCATAACCATGGTTCTTGAAGTCAAATCCAAGTTTCCCTATGTCATATCCATTTTTTCCTTATCACAACCATACTTCCCTCTGTCACATCCATATTTCTCTCTGTCACAACCTTGTTTCCCTATGTCACATCCATATCTCTCTCTGTCACAACCTTGTTTCCCTATGTCACATCCATATCTCTCTCTGTCACAACCTTGTTTCCCTATGTCACATCCATATCTCTCTCTGTCACAACCTTGTTTCCCTATGCCACATCCATATTTCTCTCTGTCACAACTTTGTTTCCCTATGTCACATCCATATCTCTCTCTGTCACAACCTTGTTTCCCTATGTCACATCCATATTTCCCTCTGTCACAACCTTGTTTCCCTATGTCACAACTTTGTCACAACTTTGTTTCCCTGTGTCACATGTCACAGCCTTGTTTCCTGGTGTCACAAGCGTGTTTCCTCTTGTCACATCTTTTTTTCTTTTGTCAAAATGGTTTTTCTCTATGTCATAACCATGTTTCCCTCTATCATATCGATATTTCCCTCTGTCACAACGATGTTTCTCTATGTAATAATCTTATTTCCATCTGTCACCATCTTGTTTCACTCTGTCTCATGTTATTCTTATTATATCCTAGGTACCCATATCATCTGTGTTAACCTCTTCCTCTTGTCACAATCTTATTTCCCTCCATCACAATCTTTTATTAATAATAATGATAAGTATTATTATTATTATCATTATTATTATTATTATTATTTTTACTCACTGCCATATCTTATTGTTAGCAGTGATCTATATAATTAAGCACTGCCAAGCAATTTCCTCTCCCCTCCTTCCCCTTTATTTTAATCTTAATACATTTCCTCATATAACATTTGAATTATCAATATAACACAAGGATGGCCTGTGTATTTATCTGTCAGTTGAACCCATGATGTAACAATGACATTCTGACATATGCCATACATGGTGTTCTGGATAATAGTTTGGATATAAAACAGATCAAACAACATACACTTAAACCATATGATTTTTACATTAATAGGATGCATGATTTACAGAGCATTACACACTAGTGAAAAGAAGTGTACGTCTGTTGACATTTAAAGCCCTTTTGAAGAAGAACTGCTTATCTTAAGACATACTACAACACTTAAATAAAGAAGCATTATTAAACATGGTAAAATGCATTAGGCAAACTAATGGCAGATTAAAGCATACTCACCTTTAATAATCATATAGCTAATGAGGAGAATAGTATATTATTGTATAAAAGAAAAAATGTATTTCCTTAAACATTCTCTCCAACTTCAATGGAAAAAGATACACTAATGAGATCAAAAGAGAACATCGGCAGAGACAGCTAGATGGTAAAATACCAGCATTTTACAGCAGAACAGAGCCACTTTAGTTTTTCTGTTCCATGCTAAAATTCAGATAATTTTAAAATAAAATTTAAGAATAGACTTCCAAATTTCAATGGACATAACATCAATTTTACAAATTTTAGTAAATAAACTTGTTTGTTACAACAAACAACATTTTTGTTTTCTGTTACTGCTGAATACAATAAGTGAATTCTAATTATGGCAGCACCAATTGCAAGATAGAAAATGTCTTCTACCACCGGATGTCTTACTGATATCCACTGCTTAATGCCTGTGTTGAATGTCTGAAATGATAAGACTAATTACCGTATAAATTGATTTTGGCCATCTCCTGTTTTTTCTTTTGTACCAAGGCTACCACGTGTTATTTCATTCTGTAAGATAAAAAAAGAAAAACAAAACCTCAATTACATCGAACACAACAATACACTGTAAGGAACAGAATTATGTGCTATAACTCAATATTCATATCTCCATCAAAACTTCATATCTCCATCAAAACTTCAAATATCCAAATAAACTTCACACATCCAAATAAACTTCACATTCCCACCAAAACTTCATACTTCCACATGAATGTCACATTTCCAGACAAACTTCACATTTCCAGACAAACTTTACATTTCCAGACAAACTTCACATTTCCAACTTCACATTTCCAGACAAACTTCACATATCCAGATAAACTTCACATTCCCACCAAAACTTCATACTTCCACATGAATGTCACATTTCCAGACAAACTTCACATTTCCAGATAAACTTCACATTTCAAGATAAACTTCACATTCCCACCAAAACTTCATACTTCCACATGAATGTCACATTTCCAGACAAACTTCACATTTCCAGATAAACTTCACATTTCAAGATAAACTTTACATTTCCAAAACTTCACATTTCCACATGAATGTCACATTTCCAGACAAACTTCACATTTCCAGATAAACTTCACATTCCCACCAAAACTTCATACTTCCACATGAATGTCACATTTCCAGACAAACTTCACATTTCAAGATAAACTTCACATTCCCACCAAAACTTCATACTTCCACATGAATGTCACATTTCCAGACAAACTTCACATTTCCAGACAAACTTTACATTTCCAACTTCACATTTCCAGACAAACTTCAGACAAACTTTATATTTCCAACTTCACACATCCAGACAAACTTCACATTTCCAACTTCACATATCCAGACAAACTTCACATTTCCAACTTCACATATCCAGACAAACTTCACATTTCCAACTTCACATATCCAGACAAACTTCACATTTCCAACTTCACATATCCAGACAAACTTCACATTTCCAACTTCACATATCCAGACAAACTTCACATTTCCAACTTCACATTTCCAGATGAACTTAACATTGTAAGACAGAGGTCTTATTTGTCTACTTCACACTCAGAACGGTACACCTTCCACACCATGACTATTACACAATATGGATGTTTGTTGGTTGGTTTGTAGGGTTTACCACCCCCATCAGCTGCCTGCAGTGTCATTTCCAGGCTTAATCTCCCTGGAGAAGTTGGTGGCTACCACACTATACAACATAAGCAATGGTCGTCACATGCCATCCAAAGCAATTAGGCTGTATATCTTGTCCACGGACACAACAATCACTACAGCACAGGATGATCCATTTCTAACAAAGACAATCCTCCCAATTTGAGATCACTAAAATACACACCCCAGATCTTCACCACAGATTGTCTAGTCCAATGTCGTAATAACAAAAATATTACTGCAGCCTCTTCCTCACTCACAATACTGATATACTGCCTTCAGCCCCAAGTAATCAGAAACCTTCTGGGCCTCTTCAACATGAAATTCCTATGGTTCAACTTGTAACTAAGTGAGTCCTTATTGCTGAATAAATACTTGGTATGATTAATTGCCATGTATAAGCAGAAGCAGTTGGTTTGTTCGGTAAATTTCAGTAACCACTTACAGGAATAACCTTTTCTTCGTTGACCGTCACTTTAATTTCTGTCTGCACAGTTTGTACCACAGTTCCATTGTTGTGGGCTGGTGTGGGACGCCGTGACTTTAGCACCCCTGACTCCACTTCCTGTCCTCTCTTACCAACAACACTAGGGACAGGGCGATCAATTGTCACTTCTGAATGTCCCTTCTTCTCTACTATCAAAACACAGACCAGGCAGTGAACATTTATATATACTACAATCAAGCAATGGGTTAAATTCTACTCAGTAATTAGATTAGGTATTAGAATATGTTGTGTAGAAAATTCTATGATTATCAAACAGTGAAAATTCAAATAGAGGCAGATGCTACATGATAGTGTAAGCAACAAAACAAGTAAACAAGAGTTGGTTATATCCATTTTTATTGATGATGCCACAATTCAATGCAAAGTGTCACCTATTGAAGAGAAACCCAAAGTATTCAGTGTAGTTTTATGTCCAAGACCATCCATGTTCTCTCGTTATGAACCCTTCTTGAGTACTTGGAGGTCAGCTATGAAAAGGCAGATTAAATTCTACTCCTCACTATGTCCCCATGAGTATCAATCTGACCAGATTTCAGAGGAGACTTGTTCTGAGGTGTGTGCATTTGTTTTAGAACCCTCCCCCCTCCTGCTCTAAGGGGGTATAGCTTCCTGATGACATTCTGACCTTCACAACATAAGTATGATTGTTTAAACCATGGAACCAAAGAATGACAATGACCATAGAAAATGTAAAATTATCATCAAATGTCGCTCTGGACATTAAAAGTTACTTGTTCCAACATTAGTTCCACATTTACATACAATATATGTTAAATTGGTGATGATTGACTGATCATGTCGAACTGAGTGATCAGTAATTTTGTCTAATCTACTGTTCTTTATCTATTGATTTTCATGGCTACATGTCCACTAAATCATCTCTTCACTTTATCCCATTTTATGCTATATTGATCAACGTGATAATAAATTATGTACTATGAGTATGGCAATGAAAGAATTTTGACTGAATTTTACTGACAGCATCATCAAAGTAGGAAGAAAACTTGGCTTGTCATGAAAAACCATAAATTAGGGGAAAACTTTGAATAAAGGAAAGATTTACATGTAGCCATGTAAAGTTATGTGACTTACTGCTTGCTTTTTTCTTGTCCTTGGACATTTTGTTGCGTTTAGCTTTAGGGTCGGAGTCCATGTCTGTCATGCTGTTTTCTCTGGAGTGATGCTTGCTTCTTCCGCACCCCATTTTCCCTTTGGGTAGCAACATGGAGTACGCTGACACGTTCTAGATTAACCTCCTGTCACCGAACCCTTTGTGAAGCACACATTATCTCCCCTTATACCGTATCAGCACCAAGTGGTATTTTACAGCGTCATTTTAAATAAAATGTATGAGGGATTCTCAGGAAGCCATCATTGTAAAATGTTCTCCACAGTAAGTCTTTGTTATTCCACGTGGAATCTGTAAGTAGATTTTATCAGGTTACTCACAAGTAACCAAACACATTCCACTATCAACAAGCATGAGACTATTCTGTATAATTGTCTTCTAAATTCATTGAAACTATTTATATCACTTCAGCTCTCAAGTTGTTTTCTTTCTGTATTTCTACAGCTATATTAGTAAGTGTATTTCTAAACTGAGGTCTATATTTGTGTTGTGTACATCAGATGTAAGTCTGTTCATATACCTTGTCTACATTAGTGTTGTGTACACTAACTGTAAATCTGTGTATTTACTGTAGTCTATATTTGTGTTTGTACTGCTATTGGTCTGTATGTACTGTAGTCTATATTTGTGTTTGTACCGCTATTGGTCTGTGTATGTACTGTAGTCTATATATGAGATTGTACCGCTATAGGTCTGTATGTACTGTAGTCTATATTTGTGTTTGTACAGCTATTGGTCTGTGTATGTACTGTAGTCTATATTTGTGTTTGTACAGCTATAGATCTGTATGTACTGTTGTCAATATTTGTGTTTGTACAGCTATAGGTCTGTATGTACTGTAGTCTATATTTGTGTTTGTACTGCTATAGGTCTGTGTATGTACTGTAGTCTATATTTGTGTTTGTATCGCTATTGGTCTGTGTGTACTGTAGTCTATATTTGTGTTTGTACCGCTATAGGTCTGTGTATGTACTGTAGTCTATATTTGTGTTTGTACAGCTATAGGTCTGTGTATGTACTGTAGTCTATATTTGTGTTTGTACAGCTATAGGTCTGTGTATGTACTGTAGTCTATATTTGTGTTTGTACCGCTATAGGTCTGTGTATGTACTGTAGTCTATATTTGTGATTGTACCGCTATTTGTGTTTGTACAGCTATTGGTCTGTATTTACTGTAGTCTATATTTGTGTTTGTACAGCTATAGGTCTGTATGTACTGTAGTCTATATTTGTGTTTGTACCGCTATAGGTCTGTATGTACTGTAGTCTATATTTGTGTTTGTACCGCTATAGGTCTGTATGTACTGTAGTCTATATTTGTGTTTGTACCGCTATTGGTCTGTATGTACTGTAGTCTATATTTGTGTTTGTACAGCTATAGGTCTGTGTACGTACTGTAGTCTATATTTGTGTTTGTACAGCTATAGGTCTGTGTACGTACTGTAGTCTATATTTGTGTTTGTACAGCTATAGGTCTGTGTACGTACTGTAGTCTATATTTGTGTTTGTACAGCTATAGGTCTGTGTATGTACTGTAGTCTATATTTGTGTTTGTACAGCTATAGGTCTGTGTACGTACTGTAGTCTATATTTGTGTTTGTACAGCTATAGGTCTGTGTACGTACTGTAGTCTATATTTGTGTTTGTACAGCTATAGGTCTGTGTATGTACTGTAGTCTATATTTGTGTTTGTACAGCTATAGGTCTGTGTATGTACTGTAGTCTATATTTGTGTTTGTACAGCTATAGGTCTGTGTACATACTGTAGTCTATATTTGTGTTTGTACCGCTATTTGTGTTTGTACAGCTATAGGTCTGTATTTACTGTAGTCTATATTTGTGATTGTACCGCTATTTGTGTTTGTACAGCTATAGGTCTGTATTTACTGTAGTCTATATTTGTGATTGTACCGCTATTTGTGTTTGTACAGCTATAGGTCTGTGTACGTACTGTAGTCTATATTTGTGTTTGTACAGCTATAGGTCTGTGTACGTACTGTAGTCTATATTTGTGTTTGTACAGCTATAGGTCTGTGTACGTACTGTAGTCTATATTTGTGTTTGTACCGCTATAGGTCTGTATGTACTGTAGTCTATATTTGTGTTTGTACCGCTATAGGTCTGTATGTACTGTAGTCTATATTTGTGTTTGTACCGCTATAGGTCTGTATGTACTGTAGTCTATATTTGTGTTTGTACCGCTATAGGTCTGTATGTACTGTAGTCTATATTTGTGTTTGTACAGCTATTGGTCTGTATTTACTGTAGTCTATATTTGTGTTTGTACCGCTATTGGTCTGTGTATATACTGTAGTCTAGTCAGTGTATATTGGTATTTACCATTTTTATATGTGACCTACATTCAAAGGTTTTTAGAATACACCTGTGGTTTTACATCTCAAATAAGAAGGAAAAATTTTGTTATCCTTAATGTTAACCTATTAAAGACCATAGAAAAATGAAATTTGAAACATATTTTTAAGATCCTTCATAATGAAATTTTCCAAATTTCCAAATATCTGTTTTACTATTGATATGTGAACACAATCTTCGGAAATACAGGATTATCAACCAAAACAGTGGAAAAAGATAGACACCGAGTTTCTATGTCACAATGGCAATCTGACTAAGCTTTGAGTTTCCTGTGCCGATAGCACTGCACACAGACCTACCATAACTGGCTTTCATCAAATCAAAGAGAGATAATTTGGAGGACTGAGACAAATGAAGCACCTTCCCATACTATTGTTCCGAGTCCTTGTAACACTAACTGCATCAATTATGTACCTCCTTTCCGGCTTAAAATCAATAATTTCCTCTAAAATCTTGTTTTTGTACCTAGTAATCTTTCAAATTTGCAGTATTATGTTAAGCTTATGTTACAACGTTTCTCTATTTGAGGGTAGACTGGTGTTACGACCAAGACTTTCTATAAATAACACATTGATTAATATAACAAATTGGTAATTCTAGAATGCTTAAAAATGAATAAAGTTCTATGATATGTTTTTTTTTTTCAAATAATAATACATGTACTGAGCAAGAGGTCCAGTGGGCCTTCATTGTTCACCTGGTAATCAATGTTCATCATAAATACATTCGCACATGCATATACTATTAATATTCAAAATGGGCACATCTTATAATTTTGACTGAAATTTCCAGCAAAAAAGCCAAAGTAAAACTTTTAACACTCAACAATTTCTTTATCTTTGACCTAGTAACACCTTGCCATCAAATATCATAGTTCTATGCCTTTTGTTTAATTAGAAGAAGTATATTAAAGGTTTTGACAAATTTGACACCTGTGAACTTGAATTTAACATTAGCATATATACCACTGACATTCAAAGTGGGCACATCTTATCATTTTGACCGATTTCCGGAAAAACAGCAAAAAAAAAACCTGTTAACACTCTACAATTAGCAGTAGCAGTTATGACCAAGATTATTGGCAAACGTCATTTCTTTTTTGTTTTGTTTTTTTTATCTAGTATCTCTTTTAGCTAGCAAGACCTTTCCACCAAATATGGTGCAATCCCTTTTGTTTAAATCGAAGTATTTTAAAGGTTTAAACAAATTTGACTCCTGTGAACTTGAATTTAGAGTAAAGGTCTTTTCACAAACTTTGCTGGCTTCATCTCAGGGATCCACCAGCCCAATATAATGCTTCTAAGGGTCTGGTTAATCAGAGAAAGTTTTTTAAAGGTTTGGGTGATTGATTCGTTACCTCGAATATGGGTGAAGGTCATTTCTTTTTGCAAGCTTTGTCAGGCTTCATACCAAGGACCTACCAGCCTAATATCATGCTTTTGGTTTGTCAAAGGAAGTTGTTTGAAGATTTTGACAAATTTTGCCCTGTGCGATGATGAATATGGGTCAAGGTAACTTTTTTTCCCAAAATATTGTCTAGATTTACCCAGAAACCTACCAACCAAATATATTTATGTCTTTCAGTTAGGCAAGAGAAGATGTTAAAAGGTTTTGACATATTTGACCCCTGGGACCTTGAATATTGGTCAATCCCAAAAACCTGCCTGCCAAACATCACAACTGTAGGTCTGTTGGTTATTGAGAAGAATTTGTTGAAAAGAAAAAGTTGGTGCCAGATGAACAAACGATGAATGCAGCTACCTCAGGCAAGTGAGCTAAAAGATAGACTAAGAAATATCTAAAATTTAAATAAGGAAATTATAAACTTAATCCAACAGTTCAGTGGAAATATCATTCAGGTAAAAATTCAGTGTTGCAGATGCATACCACTCTGGTTATAATGGTGCAAACTAACCAGCAATTTTCTATACATGATATCAGTACTGTTTCCTTGTCCCAATTTAGAACTTATTTTCATGGATGGCCATTTTATCAATATTTATCATATAGGCTTTTAAAACAGAATCATATTTTCATAATAATGTTAACAATACCGGTAAATCAATGTGATGTAGGATGACCAAGTGACTTGATTGTTGCACTAAGCTATACACATATGTATATTCAAAATTTCCTTCCAGCACCAATCGTCTGAGAGAGATTGCAATAATAGTGGATCATGTGTCAGACAGGTAAAATGCCAGTATAACATTTATTCCAATCAAGCAAAGTGCCTGCCTTGCAGCTGGTCAGCCCAGTGATGGAACACATCTTGAGCAGGTCTGTGGTAGATGATATAACAATATGGTCAAATGATTTTTTGGCATATGATGTACTTGCCAAATTTTTGCGCGTTCCATGGAGATTGTGGGTAGTTGTTGCAGACTTTTTCTTGCAATATTTGTTGACCTGTATATAACTATTGAAGTAGTTCAGAACAGTTGTACATCTCCTCAATTGTGTTTATATACAGTAAAGAAATAAATCACAAATTGTCAAGTGTGCAGTATACATACAAAAATAAATATTGTGAAAAAGTTTCTCCTGGTAAACAGCTTTACTTTTATAATATCAATAATTTCATATGTTAGGAACTATAAGAAACTATTTTTTATCTTTTTTTTCTTATAAATCTAAAAGATTTGTATTTCAATAAAATATGAGAATATTACTTGTATCTAGTAAAAGCACATGGTTGACTGACTTCATAATCATCAATAGCA